AAAAAATTTTATTTTGAAATTTTAGAAAATTACAATTTTGAATTAATTAATTAAATAATAAAAATTTCACAGGAATTCTATTATTTACAAATTTTTTATCAATTTCTTCGCAATAATTCAATTATTTTCATGAAGAATAACATTTTTTTACCAGAAATTCAATTACCTATTTTTATAAATAATAAAATTTTATGAATAAGTTTTCAATTATTTTCATTAATAACAAAACTCATCGCAGAATTTCAATTATTTTCATAAATAATAAAATTTTATGTGTAAGTTTTCAATTATTTTTCATTAATAATAAAATTCTTCTCAGGTATTCAATTATTTTCAATACAATTATTAAAAAATTCTATTGGCAATAAAGTAAATAAATTTTTCAAAAAAATTCAATTATTTTCTAAAATTTTTTAATAAAATTCAAGAATTAAATGCTTAATTTCAATTATTAAGAAAGAGGATTATTTTAAAAACTTGAAAGAAATTATTCATAAAGAATTCAATTACTTTGAAAACTTGTAATTTAAGTTATTAAAGAAAGTCCATTATTTTAAAGAAACTCAAAGAAATTTTTCAAAAGAATTTAATTAAGATTATGTAAAATTTTAATAAAATTCTTCGTACATTCAATTATTTTCACAAACAATAAAATTCTTCGAAGAAATTCAATTATTATCAAATTTTTTTGATAAAATTCTTTGCAAGAATTCAATCATTTTCAAATTTTTTATAAATTTCTTCACAATAATTCAATTATTTTCATAAATAATATAAAATTTTTACAGAGATTTAATTATTTTCGTAAATAATAAAATTCTTTTTATGAATTCAATTATTTTTAATTTTTATTTTTTAATAGTAAAATTTTTGCAGGAATTTAATTATTTGCAAACACAATTTTCATGAAATTTTTCGAAAAAAATCAATTATTTAAAATGATTTCTATAAAATTCTTCCTTGGAATTCAATTATTTAACAAAAAAATTAATAAAAGTTCTTCGTAAGAATTCAATTATTTTTGAAAATTTTAATAAAATTCGTTGCAAAAATTCAATTATTTTAAAAAAATTTTATAAAATTCTTCGAATCAATATAATTATTTAAAAAAATTTTTTTTAATATTCTCGGCAAAAGTTTCAATTATTTTCAAAAATTTTCCTCAATTCAATAATTTTCATTATATCTACTAAAATTTTGCAAAAGAATTAAATTATAAAAATTTTATAATGAAATTCTGCGCAAACATTTAATTGTAATTCATAAAATAATTAAAATTTCACAAGGAATTCAATTATTTTCATAAATAATAAAAATTTCACAAGAATTCAATTATTTTCATAAATAATAATTTAAAATTCTAGAAAATAATAATTCAATTAAAATGAGAAAAATAATTTTTATGAAGTTACAGTAACAATATTCTTATGATATTAAATAAAATAATGATTTTATCTCTCGGTCATCTTTAATTATTAGAAAACATGAAGAAATCGATCACTCCGAGTCTTCGATTCGGAGCAATCCATATCTTCATGTTTTATAACAATACTTTTATAAATTGTTTGTTTTAAAAAAGGTTTGAATTTTGAATTTTTGAATTTTTGAATGTCTTAATTCCTGTGGAAAATCCAGTTGCAAGAATAAGATTAAAATAGAAATTGTGCAAATATTTTTCTTCTTTTTCTAAAACAAAATAATAATTTTCTTAAAAAAATTGTGATTCAAAAAGAAAATAATGGAAAATAAATAAATTTTCTATTTCTTAATCACAGTTGTTTAACAATTTTCTAATTTTCTTTAGAAGTAAAGAACAAAAAATAATTTCAATTCGACAAAACATAATATTTAAGAAAATTTTAGTCTTTTAATGAAAAGAAGTGAAAAAAATTCTGATGATTTCTATTTGTCGTTACAATTTTGAATTAATTATAAAATAAAAATAATTATAACATATAATAAATACAATCTATCTAAAGATAACAAAAAACGAAAGTATAAACAAAAGACAACTTCAGAGTGTGAGGGACAGAAAAAGTATTGAATGAATGAATGAAAGAACATTCAAATTATCACAGTTAATTTTTTTTGCAAATATTAGATCTGCCATTTTTGAATTTCCAGCGTGGCACAGCGTGGAAACGGTAGAACATTTTAAACTTGTCGTATGATTGTAGTCCCTTTTTCAGTGTATTATAAAAAATATGACAAAGAATATCAAAATGATAAAGTTCACGAAGAGGAAATGAATGTTCGTAAAACGTAATACTATGTACGAGTACGATTTACAGCAAACACCATTTCCTGCGAAAGATCATTAAATTTCCTTCTTCTGTCATTTAGCGCGAAACATGGGTTTAGCTTTTGCAGTATTATATTATAGTAGTAATAGTAAATGCATATATAGTATAGATGCTTTGTGAAGAGAAAGAGTCAGTGAGAGGAGACCGAGAGAATGCAAGCTAGAGGAAAGATGGAGAACAGGGGGTAATATGATTCTGTAAACGGTTGTAAACACCAGGTGCTTAAAGCCCCTTCTTGACTACCTTGGTAGGTATGTGTACCATATGGTCACTATGGTCCTATTTATCGCCTTGCTCGAGGCTTGTTTTCATTGTCCCGCTCCCGGTCAGATCTCATGTTCTCTCATGTAATCTTATTTCATTTCATTTTTATCCCCACAGGTCTGTTGTATGTACATACGATTTTTTTTACAATCTGCCCCGTTTTTAAAGAAGTTAATTCATATCAGAATAAAGTCAGCGATTAAATCTTTTACAGATCATTATTTTCTTTTCTTCATTGTGCGCTTGCGTTTTTATTCGAAAATCGAAACGACTCGAAAAGATTAAAAAATATAAATTTCAAGTTTTTAAAAAATATCTCGTTCTTAAACATTTAAGTAAGCTCCTATTGACATTTCAATAGGAGTTATTAAATTATTAAATATTATTATTAATAAAGTAATCATTATTAATAATAAATAATAATAATAATTATTATTATTAATAAGTATTATTATTATTAAGTTATTAAATTTATTTACAAGTGTTTTAATGATAGTTTTATAATTATAATAATATAAATATACAAAGAGAAAAATTAACTATATTAATCTCCATATTTATTCATTCTGTCCGCAGTTTAAAAATAGTTTCTGTGTATTTTTGTTTTTTTTCTTTAAAAAATATTGTTTGTCAAATCGAAAATATTTAAGTATTTTTTCATGATTTATAATAAAATAATATTAAAAATTAGAGAATTAAAAAAAAAATTATGATTAACAAATAAAAAATATACCCATTTTGTTTGTTACATGCTTTTTTCTATAACAAATTCGGTTTGACTAATCTAAATTATTATGCAAATTATTCTCCTTTTTATTTATAAAAAATACTAGAAAATTGTTAATTGTTAAAAATTTTTTATTAAGAAGTAGGAAATATACCTATTTTATGCATAATTTTTATTTCTCAATAACAATATTGTTTACAAATTCTTTTTTTTTTCTTTTGGGCAAAAAAACATTAAATATTTCCGTTTCTTAATATTTTTGTAGAAAATTCTCAATTTTCTTGAGGAAATAATTTGCATCAATTCTATTTTTTAATTTCAATTGTTTTAATAAAATTCAAAGTTTTTTTTTAAAATAAAGAAAAAAAATGTTTATAAATTACATTTCTCAATTAGAAAATTTAATTGAAAATAAAATTGAAAATTTTTGAATTTTTAGAAAATAAAGGAGAAAATTTTATTGAAAAAAAATGTTTTGTTAAACATATTTACGAATATCTTTGATTGTAAAATTATTCGTAAACAATAATGTATTTTTTAAATATTTCAAATATTTAATTATTATTTTTACAGAGAAATTAAGATTTAAAAAAATTTTAAATTCAAACCTTTTTGAAATTAAAAAAATTTATAAAATATTGTTATAAAACATGACCGACTGATAAAATCATTTATTTATATATTATTATAAGAATATTATTACATTAAATTTTTAAAAATTATTTTCATATTCTATTATTATCTAAAATTTAAATTAAAATTAATTTTTAAATCAATTGAAATCAAAGAAACTTATAAAAAATTTGTAAATATTTGAATTCATGTGAAATTTTTATTATTTATGAAAATAATTAAATGTTTGCGTACAATTTTATTGAAATTGTTTTTAAATAATTAAATTTTTTTGGGTAATTATATTAAAATAGTAGATATTAAAAATCATTGAAATGAGGAAAATTATTGAAAATAATTGAAATTTTGACAAAAATTTTATTAAAATTTTTTGAAAATAATTGAATTTTAAAGAAGAATTTTTTTATTTATAAAGATAATAATTGGGATTTGGTCGAGATTTTTTTGTAAATTTTCAACATAATTGAATTTTGTGATACGAAGTTTATTACAATTTGAAAATAATTAAATTTCTGCAATCATTTGTAACTTCTTCAAAATTCAATTTTTTCAGTGTTTTTAACTAAAATTCTTCTATAAATTCATTATTTTTAATAATTAATTAAATGTATATATTGACAAATTTAACTAATTTTAGATTTTGAATTATTAAAATTTTTCAAAAATCTAAGTTCATTAAAATTTCTAATTAATTTATTTATTTTATGATAGTTGTTCAAGATTTAAGTTATTTAAAAAGAAATTTTTGTCGTATCTGGTTAATTGTTAATATATAATTTAAAGAAAAGTTGTTAATTTTGAGTAAATCCAGATTTTAGTAAAATCTTAGTGTTTTATTTTACATTTTAATTTTGAGTTTTAATATATAATTTATAGATGGCAGGAAGGGAGAGAAGGTGTTCTAATATCGATGAGTGTTACGAAAAAAACACCCTCCAGTTTGGATACAATTAATAATTCTAATTGCAAAATGAAAATAAATCAAAATGTTTTTTTTCCATAACACCCATCGATGTATGGGATACTTTCTAAACCTTCTTGGAATTTTTTTTCCCAATAAGTACAACAAATTATTTACATGTAAAAATCTTTTTAATATATTTTTACAATTTTTGCAGTGTCACAAAGTGTTTAATTTTAATTTAAAAATAAAGGCACTTGAGAGCACCAAATTGTGATTTCTTAATGAAAAAATATTTCAATGGTGACCATAATTGAAGTTCTGTGAACCTTGAACACAAAAACCAAAATGATTCTTAAAAATAAATATTTTTTAATTTTGTCCTATTAATTTGTGAAGACTATGAATAACGTATATTTATTTCCATAGTAACGATTGTTATGGTAATCGTGTCCTTAGCAATCGTTGATATGGTTAATAAGAAGTTCACAATTATATATAACTATAACAATTATAATTTATAACAGAATTTACCTCGATATGATTCTAAAAATTTTTACCATTTCTGGTACTCCCACCATCTATATTGGTACATTTAAATCTGTAATAATTTACATAATATTAAAACAGAAATTTCCCAACTTTATAAACGTTTTTAATGATATATATTTACAAACCTGTTTGAAGATCATTATTCGCTTCACTAAGAGGACCGTCAAGAATAGCTTTTAGAACATTCGAAACATCTGTAATGTATAAGATTTATTTTAGAAAAAATTTAGATCAAGTAAAATTAAAAAATTAATTATGATAAGAAAGTGTTTGTAAATTATTTTTTCACATTATAATAGAGTACGAAAAATAATAGTAATAAAAAGACGAATAAAGTAACCATATACTACTTTTATATACCAAAAACCTTAAATATCTTGAATTTCAGGTAATTTTTACCATTTCTGTAATAAATTTTAGACTAACTACTTATTTTATTTAGTATAAAGTTTAACATAATTAAAATTGTCTTTATATCGCTTTATATCAAAAAAATGTACCATTTATTAATTCCTTAATTTTTTTCTTTGCTGGATCTTCATAAGAAGATAATTTCTGTTGAAAATCTGTAATTAAAAACATCAAAAACATTATATTTATTTTTATAATATACTATAAAACATATGTTAAAATTTGTATTTTTTGTGTTATTTTTTTATTTTATTTTTAACTTTTAATTTTTGCTCCAATTCAAAAAATGAAATTAAATATAGAAATTTAAAATCCATTCTTTTAAATTTTTAATATAGAAATTTATGATCTATCGCTTTTATTTAAAGTTAATGTTATATTGATCAAATTTACCATTTACTATGTTTTTCACTTTTTCTTCTGTCGGTTCTTTTATATTTTCAATGTTACGTTTTATATCTGTTGAATTGTTAAAATTTTAAAAATATCAATTAAACAATTATTAGCACTAATTACTGGTTTAAAAAATGTTTAAATCTTCTGCCAGTTTAGTTACTGTGGAAATTTTTAAATTAAGAAAAAATATATTTTACCACCGACTACTTTATCAGCTAACTGAATTGCAGGTTCCTTAAGTTCATCTACTCCATTTTTTATACCTAAACAAAGCATAAAAAATACTTTAAATTAAAGTTTTCTTCACTTAAAGTTAGTTACAATAAATAAACAAATTGGCATTGAATAGAATATATTTCTTGAAAATAATTTTACCCATTTTTGACGATTTAGTAAAAAAAGAGTGTTTACCCCCCGTAGTAAAAGTGTATTAATTTAATAATTAATTAATTTTACCTGTTACAATTTCTGCTGCTCTTTGACGTGTTGAATCCGTAACATTATTTATATTATCTTTAATACCTGAATAAAAATTTCGCATAAATAACTTTTAATCAATTATTAAACAAAAGGAAATAATTATCTTTGATTGTAATTAAATAAAATTTCACTAATTTATTAATTAGTTAATAAAGCAATAATTTTTTTAGTAGTAGAGAAACATTTTCATACCAATGTAGACTGAGGTAATTGATTTATTCCGTAAAATGAAAAAGAAATTATTAAACAATGTTAAAAATTGTACTCCATTTTTACACCAGAAATAGTTTGCTCACATTATAATTTTAATTAAAATTTCGTAAAACCGGAAATGATACAAAAATTTTTTAATGTCCCATTAAAAAAATTTCAAGTAAATTTCAAAATTTTCATAATTTTTTAATTTTTATTGAAAATGAATTTTATTTCTATTGTTTGTAATAATGAGTAAAATAAAAAATTGATTTTACTTCTTAATTTTTAAAACTGTATAATATTCTATTTTTGGCTGAATCTAAATTCATTAACTTTACCATTTAAAATTGCAGTCACAGCTGTCTTTACTAATTTTTCATCTTTTAATTTTCCATATACTGTAAAATAAAAAATTTTTCATTATAAAAAGCATAATGTTTGTAATAAAAAAATTTCCTTTATAATCATTGATTTATTTTAAATAATTCATTGTTCTTAATAAAATTGAACTGCGAATTTCGAAAAGGACTCAACTCCTGGAAACCGTAAGAGTTATTTTCACTATAACTTATTATGCAATGTAATGACTTTTACGGTTTTCAGGAGTTGAGCCCTTTTTTAAATTCACGATTCAATTATTCTCTTGCTTTAATAAAAAAATATTAAATAATAATTATTATTATTCTAAAACTTTAAGAAGAATAAATCAAAGAAAAAGAAAAGATACAAATTGTTTTTAATTATATTTTGACTAAAAATTAAATAGAAATTAATATATATATTTAAATTTACAATTTTTTGCTGATTCTTGAACATTCTTTTCGGTAACATTACCCAAGGTTTCGATGAGATTATTTATTGCTGTAAAAAATGAAATTGAATTTAAATACAATGCAGTATTTTAGATTAGAGAATTTATCTACTTGTAGAATAATTATTCCTTAATTAAAAATGCTAATAAAAATTTAATTATGATGTTTTTTAATTTTGTTTAAAATTTAAATTTACCTTGAATCACTGTTCGTAGATAACTCTTTATTCCATCAGACGACGGTATTATACCCTCAATTGGAAAATATTCTTCTACAAGAAATTAAATTGATTTAAAATAAACTACAATATTTTAATAATTTACTTATTGATTCAATAATTACTAATTAAATATAATCAAAATAATTACTTATTGTTATTATAATTTTCAATTTACTTAATTAACTTTTACCTAATAATCCTTTAAGAAGAGAATAAATTTCATTCTTTGTATCTGCAAGAAATTATATTAATTTTAAATAATATAGAAAAATTTTAATTAATTAATTTACCTGTACTAATAAATTATTTACCAAATAAGAAGTTTTTTATCTAATAATTATTTATATAGATTTTAAATTTATCTTCTTTTTATTTCAATTTATTTATAGTTAACATATTATTTTCTCAAGTATCTGAAAATATTTTTGTTTACTTCTTTTTCGATAATCTTTATTTATTAAAAATGAATTCTTTTTTACCGGAATCATCACCATCATTTGTAGTAGGTGATTCTATTGGAGCAGCCGAGGCTTAAATAAAAACAATTAAATATTAATTTATACTTTATATTAAAATTAACAAAAATAGTAATTAATTCATTTCATTTCATTTCATTGAAAATTGTCGAAGATAATATTTTCTTTTATTTAAAAAATAAAATAGATTAAATTTTATTATCGTAAAATTATTTTCCGTTGCTTTAAAATATCTACATTGTAAAAACTTTTTTAATGGACGTTGATATGAAATAAACATAAAATTTTATATTTTGCATTATGAAGAAAAACAAAAAAATAATTAAGACCAGCTTAAAAATATATTTTTTTATGGCGGAACGGTAGCGTCGGAGTGGGGAGAATGAGAGTAAGAGAGAAAGTCAAGTATTTCTCACTCACTCTTGTCGATTAGATTCAAAAGCTATAAAATATCCCATTTTTATTTTTACAAATGTTTTAGAATTTTAGAAAAATTTTTAAATTTTCTGTTCAAACAATTTAAAAAAGAAGATAGAAAATAATATACAGGGTTTGGTAAAAGTATGGAACCCCTTAAATAATTCATAAAATATTTATTTTAGTGATTACGTAATTTCATTATCACTTTCACTTTGACAGATTTAAGATTTTTATTTACGGTTTCATTTTCATTTTCACTTTTTTTGATTTTTATTTACACTTTTTATCAAAGTGAAAATGAAAATAAAAATCTATCAAAATGAAATGGAAAATAAAAACGAAAGTAAAGAAAATGTTCAAATAAAAATCAATCAAAAGGAAAGTGGAAATAAAAATTCTTGAAAACGAAAATAAAACTGAAAATAAAAAATCTTTTAAAGTGAATTTCAAGTAAAAATAAAAGTCAAAATAAGAATTAAAATTCATAATCAACCCCCCAGCGTTGATGTTAAAAATTATTTTTTATTTTAAAAATGTTCAAATTTTTATTAATTTAAAGTTAAATTTGATAATTTAATTAATTTAAAAATCATAATTCGATATTTTTTCCGTTAAATATTTGTAATTTAGAAATAAAAAAAATAAAAAGAAAAATTTAAAAATTTTTTCTAATGTTTTCTAACTTTTTCCATAAAGTTTAAAACAAATATAATTATTCTCGACAAGTATAACAATTAAAAAAGAATTATTACAATTAAAATGAAACATTTACAAATAAATCTTACAAAAAACTGAGAAAAATACAATTTTATGAAAATTAGTAATAAAATTTTAAATTATTACATTTATAATATAAAAAGTTTAAATAACTGAAGTTATATTTTATAAAAAAAAATGAATATTAATAAAAATATCTTAGAATTAATGTAATAGCTAATATGAATTAAAGAAAAAGTATAATAATTATCGTATTTTAAACATTTTTGAAAAAGTAATTCACTTACCGGATAAGTAGAGATTTGTGAAGCACACAAAAAATAATAGAGCAAAAATGACTTTCATTGCTGTTGCTGTAAACTGTGAGACAGTAAATAATTGGTAAAATTTAAAAAAAATTTTCTCTTTCTACATTCGTCTTGTATTTATAGGAAAGCGAGTCACGAAAAGTATATAACTATAAAATTTTACAATTCATAATACAAATTTTATCTAAAATTTCCAAATTGCATTTTTTTTTTAATACTTTTGATGAATATTTGCGATTAGTTTTGAAAAATATGAAAAATTCTTAAATAAAAATTTGAAATACAGCTTGAATTTAATTATATTTGAAAACTTTTAATGACATCAAAGTATTTAGGAAATAGAGTGAATTATATAATAGTAATTATATTCATATTTCCTAACTTATGAAACTTTTTATTAAAAATTAAAAAAATATTTTTTAAGTCAAATAGTATTGCGCATAATATGAGTCACATTTTTTACTAGTAATATATAGTCTATAAAGAGAAGAAAAAGAATAATGTGCAGGAATATTTTATTGTTTTTTTGTCATATGTCAAATAATAAATGATATTTTTATTTTATTTTTAACAGTTGAATCGTGTTACAAGTCTTTAATTCTAAAGTTCGTAAAATTTCTAAACTATCAAATATTTTTCTTTTACACGTGCACCAAATTTACAATAAATGTTCTTGAAGACATTTTTTTAAGAAATATATTTTTTATGATTTTAAAATTTTAGAATATATTCATATTCATATTATTTGTTTAGTTGTAAATAATTAATTGTAATTAATTTTCTTAACATAAAATTTTCAACATTGTCTTGTAAAAAGAAATTGTTTTTACAATTTCTTTTTTATAAATTTAGAAAATTTTTCATTATTTTTAATGTATAAAGAAGTTAGATAAAACTAGAATTTAAAACTTGAGTTTTTCTACTACTATTACTCTTGAAAATATTAATTTTTCTTCCTTTGAAAAAATATTCTTTTATACTAGTGTTAAAAATTTTGAAATATTTTATAAAGCTTAAATTTACTTTTTTATCTTTATATCCAATTCTGTCAAAATTTCGAAGTAAATTTTTTGCTATTTACCAAAACAATAGATCTTAAAATTTTTTTTGAATAATTTTAAGAATGTAAAAAGAAACATTTTTTAAAAAATTTGAATGAAATTTAAAAATTAGTAAAGGAACACCGATTAAATGACTTTTATTGTTGAAGATGATGTCAGTAATGTTTTTAAAAATGAAAAATATTAAGACAATATTTATTATTTTAGCTTTAAATTAAAATTATTTGTAAGTCGATCCTCTATGTAAGTCCTCTATGTAAAATTTAATTTCTTAAAAATTCGGGCACATCAGTATTAAAAATGAATTTATTTGTAAAAAAATTCTTTTCTAATTTTTCGTTTTTAAAAACGTTGTATACTTGAGCTTTATTTTTATTACATTTATAGTGAAACCTAAACTATTCGGAGTAAACTTCACTAATAAAGTAAAATTTTTTTTTAAAATGCTAAAAATTACTTAGGACGTTATAAAATTTTTTTTCGTAATAGTCATTGATGTCAAGAAAAGAAAATTAAAATTAACTTTATTTTTTTCTTCCATTTCGAAAAATTTCGCTTGGGAATGTATTAAATAAAAATATTCTTGTAAATAATTTTTCAACACTTTTTTTTAAGAACATTGAGATCAAATTTAAATTTTATTTATACGAATATAGGTGGGTTTTCTCGAATGAAATGTATAAAGTTCGTAAACAACTTTTAAAGCACGTGCTCGGCATAAAAATATAATAATATACTATTATATATGTGAGTTTAGTTGATGCCAATTGCAATACTGAAGCATGTTCGAAAGGAGAGATTGCATATCTAAAAAAGTTCCAATTGAACCAATATCGAGAGAAAACCAAACGTCAACGACACTCTCGTATTTCAAATTGTGTTTATATATATGTAGTGTCAGAATAAATGGAGCATATTATAGAAAAGAATGAAAAATGAGAACCGCTGATATCATTTTATTTTCCTCATAGGCAATGGGCATATGCCGAAGCAAACTAGTACTCTTGAGAGTATTATAAAGTAGAGGCTTTACAACGGTACGCCGACGACAAATATAGATGTGGTCTCCCATATAACTTTCCGATCGAGGTCCTGAACTTGAATCTCCAACTGTCTGGAACTTGCAAAGCCGTACATTTAAAGTGGATGGATAAAAAACAGTCTCTTTATTCTTAGTCTGAATTTTCAATCCGCATCGACCTAACTTCCCTATTACATAATCTAGAACGTTTCAAACTTAGGAACAAGTTCCTTTAAATTTTATTTTTCGAAATATTCCATTATTTTAAATAACACTTTATCAATAAAAATTACCACGCAAAAAAGTCTCAACTTTTGGCTATTTTTTCATTTAAAATACAAACTTGAAATTCGCAATGTTTTTAATAACGAAAAATTAATAATAACCAATATTTTTTCATATTAATTCAACTCAAATTTTTAAGGAATGTGCACAAATTTTTAAAAAAATAGCTTTTTCTTAAAGAACAGTTATACATAGAACCTGTTTACACCGTAGAGGGTAAAGTAAAGAAGGGTAAATTAACCTGAAATAATTCGCGCATGCGCAGCACTGTTTTCATCAATTTAATTATGTGCTGCGCAGGCGCAAATTTAACTATTCCTCTGTTTCTCCAGCTTAATGTACTCTTCCCTACTTTACCTCCAACGGTGTAAACAATTTCATACAAGTAAATTAAATTAGCTAAAATAATAAATATTTTTGCATTTTTTTTCGCCTTCGTTTTCTCAGTAAAAAATCCCTTATATTTTGTTTATCCTACTTTCAAATTCGTTATCATAAAATTATTTTTAATAATACCTTCGACCTTGAATATTATGATTTTTTTTACTATTTACAAAAATTGCGACTTTTTTTAACTTTTTTTTACAAATATTGCAACAAAATACCACAATAATTTTAGTATAAAACGAAACTTATTTCGATTATTATAGTATTGAAAAAAACTATACGCAAGAACTTTCGAAATTATTTTCTTCAATAATTTTTTTACTATAATAAAATTTTAAAAATCTACGTATAATTAAAAAATTAAAATCAACTTTTGAAGAATTTTAAATTTTAATTGCAAATTTTGAAAACAATAGAAATCATTCTAATTTTTTAAAATTCAATTATTTTTGAATATTTTCAATTGCATATTTCTGAAAATTCAAATACATACAATGAATAATATTAAATTTTTTTAAAATCATTTTTAACATTTTGGAGAAAACAATCATATTCAAAATTTTTAATTAAAATTCTTAAAAGAAATTGATTATTTTTTATATTTTTCAAAAATTTTAACATTTTTAAATGATTTCACCAAATTTGAATTGTATGAGAATTTTTTGGTGGGGGGTCAATTTTCCCAAAAAAAAATTATTCCCAAAAAATGTTTTCCCAAAAAAAAATTATTCCCAAAAAATGTTTTCCCAAAAAAAATTTTTCCCAATATTTTATTTCCCAAAAAAAAATAATCCAACATTGTCTACCAATCTGTTCGAACTAGAATTTATTTAAAAAAATTTTTCAAACTAGAATTTACTCAAACTATTATTTTTTCAAATTACCATTTATTTTAAAAAATTAAAATTAAATTAAAAAGTAAATTAAATTAAATTTTTTTTTTTATTTATTTTTAAGTTTTTATTTATTATTTTTCCAAACAAAAATTTATTGTAACTATTATTATTTCGAAATAGAATTTACTCAAACTGTATTATTTTTTCAAACTAGAATTTATTGAAATTAGTCTTTTTTCGAAATTTGAAAATATTAATTTGTCGAACTAGAATTTATTCAAACTACAATTTTTTTAAACTATTATTGTTTCAAACTACAATTTATTAAAAGTATTCTTTTTTTAAACAAAAATTTATTGAAACTATTATTTTTTCGAAATAGAATTTACTCAAACACTAGAAAAACAAAGTTTAAATTTTAACCTGATTTTGGGGTAAATATTCGCTGCAACAAATTTTCACCTAAGTGAGGGCGCCACTTTCTATGTGAATTAGCATTGGTTAAAATTCCCTGCAACAAAATTTATACTATCTTTTTTTCTGTGAATTATTGTTTTTTTCGAAATAGAATTTTTTCAAAATACTATATTTATATTTATTCAAACTATTATTTTTCTAAACTATAATTTTTCAACCCACAATTTATTCAAACTATCGTTTTATCGAAATAAAATTTATTGAAACTATTATTAGTTTTAGTTCAAACTAGAATTTATTCAAATATTTTTTCAAATTAGAATTTATACTCAAACTATTTTTTTTCAAACTTGTTACGTATTTACAATCACTTGGACATTACGTTCGAATGTGATTATTTACTACTAATTTGGCAATAAATATACATTTTGTAAAAAATATAACATTGGGAAAATTTTTTGGGAAAATTATTTTTTTGGAAAATCCAGCATTGGAAAAAAAATATTTTGGGATAAACTGTTTTGGGAAAAGTTTTTTTTGGGAAAATTGTCCACCAATCGAATTTTTTAATTGCATATAATTGATAAATTATTGTCTTTTAAACATTATTTAAAAATATTTCTAAAAGATTAATTTTCAGAATTTCTGTATTATAATTTTTTTGAATTATTATACCTTAATAACTTTAAAAAAACATAAACTGTTACAGTTACAGTTATTATTTAAAAAAAATTTAATTATTGTATACTTAAATAAAGAAATTCTCGAAGAACTTTCGAAAAATTATTTTAAATATTTTATTTAGAGATGAAGTTCAGTTAAAAGTAGAGAATAATTTGAATTTGTAGGAGGGTAATGTTATAATTTTTAAAAACTATACAGTTTCATAAGGTTTTAAATTTAAATTCTTTTAATAGAAAAAACAAATAAGAAGTATTGAAATATTTATTTGACAAAATATTATTAAAGTTTTGAATAATTGAATTTAGAAATCATAATTGAATTTAGAAACATGGACAGTTATAGGAGGGGGGGGGGGGGATTGTTAAAAGTCCACGATTGCCCGAAATGTTCCAGAAAGTTTCAAGCTAAAAATTTATTTAATTGTG